ATCAAACATGCACATGGCCTGGAGGTTGGCTACTCTACGGAATGCCGTAGATGAACTCTAAGGATTGGTAGTACTGTAGATACGATTAAAACATGAGCAAAACATGAAGGAATTTCAGGTGAGAAAATTATAAAGTAGAAAAGTAATGCAAGACAATAGAGTGTTGGAATTCATTGGTTGTAGGGAGTTGCTTGCAAAGATCAATCATATTATGAGCGTGGACGTAGTTGTGGATCAAGTACAAAGTCAAGGGACCAATGAAGCAAGGAGATCTGCTCACCACAAGAACCCAAGTCTTAGGCTTCACTTAAATGGCATCACTGGATCATTGATCCCGTAGTGGGGAACAGGTGTGCACCATATCGCTGCATACAGTAGCAGGACCGAGCAGGTTGCAGTAGTAGCTTGCTAAGTTGGGGACTGGGAATTTCTGGGGGTAGGGAATCCTGCTCCCGAAGCTATCAAGTGGTTACAACATCCACAAAGGAGCCAATAGACATGGAGTCACACACTTCTGCCTCGTCCATTGTGGACCAACTTGGAGAACCGAAACAAAACAGGCGAAGGCAGCGCTCTTCTGGCAGACTACACTGAATGGGCCATGGGCAAAGGAGGCCAGATATGTTGGATGGTGGTTGATGCATTCGGTAGTCAAAATCTTCCCCCATTGGACTGAGCCGAGCTAACCACTACAGCACAGGAACATAGGTGGGGATTCCGAAGGTTGAAACATGCGTACAACATTTTCGGGAGGTAAGAGAAACATGGGAATTTTTACGACCCACTGTGTTTGAAACGGAAGAATAACTTGGACTACAACAACAGCTATATTTTACTCGGAGAGACAACGACGTGTACCCTTTACTAGGGATCGCTGTAGGCAGATATAGTCGGTACGAGCAGTCTGTCATGTAGGGAGCCGTATCCGGTCTTTGAAGAGTGCCATGTTGTTGATGGACAAGACAAATGGTGGTGGATGTAATCAACCTTCTAGGCAGAATCAATGTACAACGATAGATTGTAGTTCGCTCGCCCCTCGTGATCTCTCAGGACAAGTTTATTGCATGGAAGGTCCGAGAGCCAATGAGATCGTTCATTATTTGGTATTGGTCGAATCGTAAGATCGTCCGCAGACTGGCTGATAATGAGTCCCGACTAGTGCACTGGATTACCCTTTAGGGTGTAATATACTTTCACACATTGCTTCCTCTAGGGTTTTGTTTGGAATCTGGAGGTCCAACTCTGCAAACCATCCACGATAGGTGTCTTCTTTCTCCACTTATGATTGACTGAAGGAGCACACTGGTTTCAATTGCTTTTAAATTTGAGTAAATACTCCAAGGAATGACTGATGAGCTTGTTGAACTGCTAGAGACATTGTACGTTGTTCATGAACTTCACATAATGAAAGATCAAACTTCAGTATCGAAACATTCTCTAGCAATATCCGTTTTGAAGTTCATATCGTATGGTTTTCATCTTCTAGTATTATTTATGGTAGCAGATAGAGGCAGCGAACCTGCAGGAATGATCATCTCTTGCAACATGCAAGACAAATGAAGTTGGTTATATACCGGAACAAGGCTTCAACTTGTTGCGATTAGCTTCTAAGCGAAATTTGTAAATCATCTACTAGAGGAAGACAACAAGTCGTGATCAGGAGTGCTGATTAGTTTTGTCCCTAATATTCGTACACTTGACTCAGTTTGACCAAGGCTGGATCCTCCATGATCTACAGCACAAGACTAACATATCTTGTTTCACACTGACCAAAAATTTATGCGAGAAGCTCAAGCATATCCTAGAAAGTCATGTAGCCATTGGAAGTTGGGAACTTTGTTCCACGGTTGAGTTTGAGTCAGTGACACTGCTGCTGCTGCATGTATAGCTGCAGTGCTCTTCCAGTAAAGATTGGAGAATGAGGAGAAGAATGAATCCACATAGAAAAACTCCCAAGTATTGTGGAGGATCATGTTGTGTCTGGCAATGTACAGTGTTGGTCTAGATACACATCTTTCTTTTTGAGGATTTGAATATTTTGCAGATGTAAAGTGGGGAAGTGCAAAGCGAGTTGGAGATTCTCCCCGTGCCCGTGCAGCTCATGTCATTCCAAGTGCACAGTGAATAAATAGTTCAGGCAATTTTATTTATCCTGAGAGCAGAAGCGAGGTAAGATTCCTCACTTCGTGTCTCATAGAATTCATCCGCTATGGTACCATCTGATGCTGGCATCAGATGAGACTGTGACATAAAGTCTGATGTCATGAATATCAGTTATCTATCTACCGTTCCACAATTCGAAAAAGCGACTGTTGATTCAAGTTTCATCATCCTCATCCTTTCATACAAAGCTCCGCACCTTTCATAGGAACTTGAGGTGGTACCATGAACGTGAGAATGAATGAACGTGGAGCAAGTCAAGGACAAGAAGATAGTTTAAGAGATATGTCCACGTCGTAACAATGAGTTTTATGTGATGAGCGTCTCATGCATGCTTGGATGTTGGAAACTCGCGCTGAGTGATTCCCACTGACTTCAGACATGTAATAAATTTCTGTGCAAGGTTTAAGCAAGATAGAGGTGAGATGAGGGTCGAGTAAAAGCCGCATCCCAAGTGGAGCGAACGTGGGCGAGAGCTGATGTGTCTCCTGGTCACACTTCTGCAGGTCATCGGGAGTATCCACTATAACTTCTAATGAACAAAATCTTTTCTATATCCATTGTACGGGCAGTGACTGCGCTTGCAGCTGTACATTCTTGGCGCTAACTATTACTGCACGATGTGATGGAGTTATGTCTGTGGTAACTTCGAGGGTGGAATTTCCGTGTTCCTACTTCTCACATCCGACTGCATTCTCGCGTTGAAAGATAAGGCAGCCACGCTCATGCAATCACTACGTTCTCCCTTTTCTTTAACACCAATGTCCTTGAAAGCTCCTCTTTGACCGAGCAACACTCACAAAAGTGATAATTGCAGGTCTGTATGATGAACATAGGAACCGATGGAGTTTAGAAAAACTCCATCGGCACATTTTTATGCTCGCCGGCAGACAAGGTCTCCTCCAGCTTCTCTTGCATGGTTACTCTATCTTCATCGTCCCGTGGGTATATTTCATGGAATATTTACAGTTCACATAATTGCATTCTCAATGATGAATATTCGATGACAAGTTCTGGCTCTGCGCATGGTCCGACTCCTATGAAACGTCACCAAATGTCCTGCTCGCGACAACTGCGAATATGATACGGAGTCATATGAATGTTGGATTTCAGATTATGTGAAAAGCCTCCTAATTACTCTCGTCGTTGAGAAAACTGGATAATCGTTTAGCTGTCGAATTCCCAACAACTTAAAAGAATCTTTTGCAAGATCTTCTCAGACAGTGGGTCTGTTTAGCTGACAAACTTTACAAGGTTCTCTGTATGATCGTAACTGTATCACAGTTACTTCTGGTTCAGTGTCTTAGACCACTGCAGTCCTAGCACTGGCCATAATAAACATCTTCTCGTTAGAAAAGAACAACCAGGTACAGCGTCGCATTTTACCGCTAGAGAGGGTATGCCCCAACTATGAAATATATCCGCAAAAGCTATTATCCTAGAGGTGAAGTGCCAATATTCTTCGTATTACAGGCCTCCTAATCTAACCCTTACTTTCCACGACAATGTCGTCCCCCTCAGCTTTTGTTTTTCACAAAAGCGCGAGTTGTTAGGAAGATACCATCACTTTAGACTCGCGTTGTGTAAGAATTTTCTGGGCATGGCTTGGAAGAACGATCACGCGACCTATGAAAGTTAGGCGAGCGTGCATGCCTGTCACCATAGCTATGGATCAAGCCGTCGCAGTGGAGCAAAAGTGGAAGGTATGAAAAGATAGGGAGAAATGATACTTACGGGTATTCTCTATATATTCCTGGAAGACAAATACAAGACGACGTGACAATCACACCAGCCCTTCTCTGATGGCTCCATGCAAGACATTTACAATGTCGGACAAGGATCACCTTCACTCCCAGTGGAGTGAACTATTGAATGCTGACTATCGGTCACAGTATTGCAAATCTCTGTGTATGATTCTAAGGGAACCTTCCCGCTTCTCACATGTCTAAAGTTTGAGTTTGATAGCTCGTCAAAATCCGTCAGGTACTCACAGCCTCTTACATCTTGTCAAATAGTGATTACTGTGGCTATGATCTGAACTTAAAGGAGGACTGCACCCTCGATTGAAGCTTTTGCATGAAAGCAATCGGCCGTACAAGTTGTTAAGGTTGGTCCATATGAATTGGGTTACCCACCTCTCGGATGTGTAAATCAGACGAAAGTTGACATGTAGTAGTAGGAAGAGTACTTTTCAGAAGGGGATTGGTTCTTGCCATCCTTTTTGCAGTCAGAGTGGTACTGTGGGAGAGTATGATATGCTTTTACAGACGATGATACCACGTGTGGGTCGTCTTCCAAGAAGAACGAATTTGGGCGGACAAATACGTCCAGGAATCTTGAAATATGAATTCGAAGTACAGACTTACTCTTAGTTGTAGGGTATGATCCTTACATAATTCCAGCTGTAGCCGATCGTCTCGAGAGCACTACGAGGGAGAATATTGGTTCTATTTCATGCGTTCCGACCAGCAACTACTGTCCATAAGTAATTTCATCTGAGAGTTAAATGCCCAACTTTCTAACCAGCAATCATCGTATTTTCTTAAAGGAAGGCGAATCTCCAGGTTCGTCCAGTATCTCATCGCAGAGTCGTGAGCAGCTACTCTCAATACGAGCCACATGAGATTTCGCTCCTCGAACCGGTCGGAACTCTGTTTCGACTCCTCTTTAGACCCTCCGCAGAGAACTGAGCGGAAAGGTCTGTTGAATGTCGAGGACGATATCATCCTCATCAAGCTAGACTTCTGCAAGCTAGAATAAATACTGAGGTGCTGCTTGGGCAAGGAATCTCAGCTTGTCAGAATCCACTTCCGTTTCAGGATAGAAGTGGAGCCTGCATGCATGCAGGGTGGGTTCACTGTGTACTGGATCGACTGTCAAAAATCAACACCTTTTCAGGTTACGTCGTATTAAGCTTTTCTATGACATGAGTTTACCTCGAGCTCGGCTCGGACTTCGAATGATTTCAGAGCATCAGCGTGCACGGATGCACGAGGGGAGTTCTGATTTTTGGAGTCCGGAATCCCAAATAGTGAGTTTTCGCCCAGCGACTGATCTGTTCTAAAGCTGCGCTGTCTTGTCGGTCTTGCGACTTCTCTAATGCCTGTAGGTGTAGCAAACGAGACAATTTACCCGAGGAATGACTCTGAAGCTCTGTTCCCCCATTTTAGACATTGCTGCGAGCTCTGTCCAAGCGTGAAGTGTGTCCATACATGTACACAGGCAAGGGGTGATACTGTCAAAACAGGTGGCGTAACCTCTCGAATTCTAGTGATGGCTACAGCCTATGCGAACTCAACAAGCTTCCAATATTTTCAGTCGGAGGAGATGTTTTTTTGCATAAACCTCCCAAACAAAATTTGTCCTATCTCTCACACCAGTGATGGCACCCGTATGGATTTGACTTTGTAGTGTCTGAAATTTGGCCTGCAATGCCTGTCAGATATATCATGTCTGTCAGTGTGTGACTTAGACGTGCATTTCGAGACCTGCAGCTTGGATTCTCGAAGCTCGTCGAGCGCATGCATCATCCAGACTCCAAGTAGGGCGATCGGGGGTTTAAGAGCCATGAGTTCATGCGGTCGTGCATGGCTTCATGGATTCGATCTGTCGAAGAGCAAATCATCGAGAGCCAGAAGAGGTTCCAGAGCGTCCCGTTTGAACTTCCTGGCGAAAAGGAATCGACCATTCTGAGAAGCTTGCAAGGCTTGGATGAGGTTCGGGGTGATGTCCTCTCTGCCGAAGCTCTGAGGATGGCCTCCCTTGCTTCCATTCCAGCTCACAAAGGTGGGAGTCCCCTGGCACGCAGGCTCGTCCAGATTTCCAATCACAGTCTGGATGTAGTGCTCGTCAGGATAGCACGCCGGCCGAACACAAGGCTGATTGAATTTGGGCCAATACTTTCTATCCCGAATCACCATGACGGCGTGCCTTCTCCTAATGGCAAAGAACTGCAGGCCCAGCCTGAACTCCGAGAAGGGAACCTCCGGAAGCATGGCTTGATCTCCTCGAGCCCTGTACCTTGACATCATCATAGGCCCGGGAGCTCCCTTCCCGCAGTCTATGAAGCTGCTGGAGGTTGCATTCAGACGAAGGTACATGGAGCCGAAGCTGAGCAGGGGAATGCAGGTGTCGGAAACCAGGACGAACCACTCGTTGCTGCGATCGTCTTGAAGTGCATTGGCGATGAGCCTGCGCTCTGCTGCCACCACGTCTGGGTCCGAGCGATGGGTCACGGCGCTGGGCACAGTCCGCCCCCAGAACATGCCCAGGTTCCGGTGGGAGCCGTGATATCGCAGCCATGAAGGGTCGCTGTGAACGTAGAGGTTGTAAAGCCCCTCGTGCCCCTGGAAAAATCTTCTCCAGAGTGGCTCCAGTGCAAGTCCGGTGGTTGTCAGAAAGAGGAAGGCAATTTTGGAAGGCATTCCTCGTGCTCCTCCGTTTAGCTTGTCCGTGGCTGAGTCATGATCCGAAATGCTGGATGGTGCTCCTTCCCCCTGCAGCTGCAGCTGGAGCTCCATCTCCTCAGCACGCTGCAGAAGCTCGTCATCTGACCAGTTGTGCAGAAATAGATAGTCTCTTTCGAGCTGGACGTTCTCACTGCCGAAGCTGTGCTGGGCACGAGAGTGGACACCTGCATCTGTTGTAGCAGATTCCGTCTCTCCGATCCATGACTGGAACTGAAGGGACGGACCTCTCCAGTCCACAAGAAGGAAAACTGCGAAGAGTGCGATACACGAAAGTAGTTGGACGGCGCGCCATGTCACCGTTTTACATACAGTGGAGATCGGAGTCATGGGACTCACTTCCTGTATGAGCTTCATCCTCTCTCCGCTGCGGTCTCAGAACGCACTGCACGTGAACTTCACGATGGGGGCCAAACTGTTCAGCATTCTGCGAACTCAGCATTCATTCATTAAATTTCATATATGAAAACTCTGGCTTCGATATTCATAAAGTCATCAATGTTTCTAATTAGAAATACTCCTAAAGAAATAGCAGAGTGCTGGCAAGAAGGGAATTGATCAGCTGTGTTTTGCTGTGGAGTGCACCTGGCAATAGACAAAGATCCATTGCAAATCTCTTCAAAGCTAACATATCACCACGTCCGTTCTCTCATCGTATTCACTTCGATAGTGTTGACCCAACCAGACTGATTGAGTCCATCATGTTTAGATTTTCTCATATTGAGTCAATATAGACTTGTTGGGTTCTTCGTAATATCAGCATGGGGTTGATTTGTTTATGGACTTGGATACAGCGTTCTTCTGGCATTCTTCGAAGAAGCTTATAGAAAATGCTATTTCTTTATGAGGCCCAGCTCCCTAAAAAAGTTAGCAGATTCAACTTCCCATTTGGACGCTTACGAATTAGGATTATCTTCAAAAAGTTTCTGTGGCTAATCAAATGAAAACTGATCTGATTCACACCACTTACTCCTTGATCTACTGTACTAGACAACAAAACCAACACAAATTATGAATCATAAACCAGCTAGGCTTGGGTCCTTGGAAGTCTGGTTGGAGCTGTCGATTGCAGTATGTTGTTAAGAATGACAAGCATCAGATGCTACCTCAAATTGTCTGAAGTGGTCCTGCAAATGACTAGTATCTTCTTGTACAATCAGATTAAGAATACCGTGTACCAAACAGTTCATTTGGACTCGCTTCGACTGGCAAACACACGACCTTCACGCTATATGTAATCCGAAAAAGATAGCACTATGATATTAGCACGTACTAATCGATGTTGGCGATACAAATTTTATGACGTGACTTCCACTCCTTTCACTGACTTCTTAGTACATAAATTGTCTTTATTTGCGATGCCAAATCATATTTTCTACTTACAGCACCGTTAGGCACACCAACGAGCCTTAACGTGATGACTCATGGATCAACAGGAGATTTTTTTCACCACTCTGTTGTCAGCCAAAGCACACAAGTACTGTTTCCTCTATTCTCACAATTTCAACACCTATTGACTTCTACTCAAGAAATTTTGATGCTTGCAGAAGTAGGGAGTGAACTGAGTGTTCAGTCTTCGACACGAGCTCAGAGTTTTTGGCTGCGATATACAGCGAAAAGCTTTTCGCTGTATATCGAAAAACTCAATCGAGTTTCAACCATAATCGAATAGAACTCTGAGAAGAGTTTACTTCCAGGAAGAAACTGGACTTTGTAGAGGGAGAAAACCGAAAAATCTGTACAGCTACAATCCCCATATCCCAGTACTCTTCTCGTACTATATGTGTTCTAATATGCAATTATGTATATGGTAGCAAGATATAGAAAGGAAGTGTTGAGCTCAAAAGAATGAACAGAAACTTGTCCAAGAGGAGCTTGTTACGGCGTTGGAGGTGTGATCATGAGAAGGCTAGCTGGTTCGTGAATTCTTGACTTGAGACACGACTCGGGGTGAATCTTCATATCTACACGAGTTGCATGGTGATAATGCTCACTTCAACTTGCTGTGAGTTCAACCAGTGTCTACGACCACTTTGAACACTGGCTCGCATAAGAGATAATTTCTCTGCCTGAACAAGACTTTTCTCTCGGATGTCCTCTTATATGTCTACCGCTTCATCAATTATCGATTCCAAACAATTATCTCGGCCATGTCCATAAATCTGAGAGCTGTAGCAAACAGTGGAGAAAGTACAAAGCTCCTGCAAGAAGGACGATCAACTTAGGCATGCATGTGCAGAAACTCAACAGGGCTTGCTCACCTGAGCACTGGAGTATGAGGTTGATGGTAAATTCCATGGGCTTTCTTTTACCGCCGCTCACCCATTCCAGTCAACAGCCACAAGAGAGAAGAAGCACGTGAGTGCAGATAATGGCCGAAATCAACATTGCTCCATCCTGCCGGTGGAATGCACCTCCTTCGAAACGACCTGCTGGCCCTGATGAATGAGTTAGAGCTACACACCCTCATACTATGATCGATGCTTACCCTGAAGGGTTTAACTTGGTTGAGGAGCTTGCTGAGGTCGGTCTACTGTTGCTTCATACCTGTAGCTGCTACTCTTGTATTCATCCATAAGCAAAGTAATATTCATCCAAACCAGTGCCCTAGCGTGAGATTCGTCCATATGTATGGACGTCCATATGTATGGACAAACTTGAACCAGAGTTGCAAATAAAAAGGTTCTTAATTCCCTCCAAGCATCCACATGTTTCTCGCCTGCTGCACACTAAAGTTGTGATCTTCAACTCTGAAGGCGAGTGTCATTGTTTATCATTCTCAATATTCTTCTCAGCACTGACTTGGGGTCGTCGTGACCCCGTCCGAGGAGAGTTGGCTGAATTTAAGCGAGAGAATCATCCTCTGGAGTTGACCTCGGAGCTCACACACACAAACCTAACAGTCTGGTCAGCTAGAAAAGTCGTATTTGAGAAATGGGTATGCTGAGTCCATACACAAGTGGTTCTACGTCCATAGGTCCTTGTCGAGACGAGCAGCAATTGTTGACTTTTACCGGAAAGCATCTTCATCTGCAATTGTTTAGGAGTAAACCTTCGTTCGGAGTGCAACGAGTCAGTTGGAGGAGCATCGAGGAGGCGGGGCCACGGTCCACTGTTGGCTGCAGCGAGCTCGGATGCCTTCAATCATCAGAGTCCGAGTAAACGTCCTGCACAAGCTTCACGATGAGCGTGGATGTGATTCAGCGGCTTGAGCCAGCCGTCTGCAGTCACAGTGATGGGAGTTTGTGAATATGGCGGATCAGATCAGAGCACGACAGGAATGTCAAGACAAGCCCGGAATATAAAAGGGTGTCGGCCTTGCTGGCTTCGGCCGGCAGGGCTCCCGAAGGTGGACCCGGATCGATGACGGGCGACGTTCAAGGTCCAGAATGTCGGATCTGGTACAGAATCTCGGATCGTTGTGGATATAAGGCCTGTACAATGAACAGGAGGGTTGGATGCAGCATGAGGTTCCGGGAACCAGCTGCAGGAGATGATGGAAAAATCAGGGGACAAGTCCCTGACCAGGAGCGTGATCAGCAGTTGCAATCACGCCCACCATGCAGCACATCGTAAACGAGTTGAAAATGCTGGCGACCAGCAAAAACATTCGGGAAATATCGCCACCTGATCAAGCTGCATAATTCCTGGCGACGATATGCTATGAGTTCCGATTGATCAGATCTCCCCGGATCGCTCGTCCGGATCCGCCTGTACATCGTCTGTGCCCGCCCGCCGGCCTGCCTGCCTACCGCGAGGAAGTCTTATAAGCTGCAGAGCCCAGCAGCAGACGGGATCATGGTGGAGCTTTGGTTTGTTGAACTCGACAGCCCTCGGGCTAGCCTTCAGAAGCCACAAGGTGGTCGTCGGTGCCAATGATGTTCCTGGAACCGCTCATGGCATTGATCATGGCCGTGAACTTTGCTGCTGAAGGAGCCAACAAATTCCCTGTCTCGTATATGATTTACAACAAAATGCGAGCGCTACGCAATTTTACATGGAGACAAACCAAGCGAGCCGGTGATCCAGAGCTCCAGGAAAAGGACAAGGCCGCGAGCTAGTCCCTCGAATCGAAGATACCGTCTGCAACGTGAGCGAGAAAGATCTAGAGCTGCAGCTGGCTGTTGGTGAAGCCTTCACGACGACGAAGAAGAAAGTGAATTTGAGCAAACGGATGATATAGGATTCGCTAGATCTATGCACATGTAGAGCTCACAGAAAAGGTGGCAACAACTTGCAGCAGCAGCAGATCGATGTCCTTTTGGAAATTTTGTTTAATCTTCCATACAATCCAATTGACAATTCGTACCCATTTCTACGGAATGTGCATAGAATCAACTGTGTTATGGTGAGCTCTAGATCTGCTTTTGGAATTTGTATATATTTTGATCTCCTCAGAAGATCCTCTTGGCTGATCTCTCTGTGTATCAACCGTTGCATATTGAATAACATCTGACCAATGGATACTACTACAATCTGTTTTCCTCTACACAATGTACAATTCCAGGCAGAAAATCATCTTCTGACAAGCAGTCGCATCTTGTCCGTGTATTTGTGTACGTCCTGTCACATGATCTGGTGTGGGCATTCAGTGGGCAACCCTCTTGACTGGAGAACTGGATCCATGTCACTGGACTTCTCCCCACCTAAGAAAGCTCCACCGATCACCAAGACCAATTGCAAGCAGAATGTAAATGCAACCCACAGTCTCTCCAAGTGGGAGGATGGCCAAACTGTTGTTGGATCAAAAATGTTCGTCACGCACAATGAAGATTGCTTTTACTCACTTTCTCCAGCTGCTGCATTTCCTTCTCGTACCCAATCATAGAGAGATCATTCCTTTCACAGTTCTGCTCGTTCCAGATATTTTGAACTCTGGAGAAAAATTGAATGTTCAAACATGTGTTCAACATTTACTACTTGAATGGCTCTCGGGGAAGGCTGGTTCATCTACAACCCGCAACAGCATAATATAGCTTCGCAGAGAGTGACTCAGAGCTTCTATGGGGCATGGATCATTGATCTATTGCTTTAAATTTCATATGGTTATGTTCGACCGTCAGCCTTAGGGGTCCGTGCCTGTTTACAAGTTTGGTTTCTTCCCGGCTTTGTACTCACGAGAGTGCCCTTATCCTTCGTCTTTCCCTTCAATTTTCGTGAATGCATATAGCGAAGTGATTGTTATTCTCTCGGTCAGCCATCTCAGAGTAAGCGAGCAACACTCGACTAGAGCACATTTTAGTCCAAGATGGAGGTCGATTGACATTACTAAACCCCTGAGAAAGTGGAAGCTAAGGAATTATATATGTTTCAATGCTGATTGTTCTTGAACCAGCTTGTTGTTGAAAAAGCTGTACTGCCTAAATACAAAGATCCTGCCACGGATCATGCACATCCATTCGATATCGATAACCATTCATCGATGGTGACAGGATGAGTGATGGAAACTTGTAACGACCGACACGCGACGACAATGTACAGATCACAGGGGACAGCGAACAGTGTACCTCAGTACAGTAGTAACAGGATTGCTGCTCTTGTTCACTGCACTCTCACGATTCTCAACTTCGATTCGTCCTACCGATGGCCATCCCTCGCACGTGAGAACAGTTTTACAGGTAACGGGTGCCACTTTAATTGTCCACAGCCTGAGACCTCTTCACTGCACTTTGAGACACTCTTGTCTCTGTTCAACAGCAGAACACCTTAAAGATAAACAGCAATCACAAAGTCTCTGTTTCCTACGGCTTTCGACTGAAACCTCGGAAAAGGATAACAGAAGTTCGAGAGCCATCTTCAGGGAGACCTTGTGGATTGCGAACTGCAGATCTATGCTCAAAAACATTCAAACAACCTTCAGTGTAACCTGAGAGACCTTGGGGTCAATATTGAAGCAGCATCACAGAGCGAAAATTCCTGTAGATTCTGACGGTCTAGTATGTAGCATCAGTGTCCTTGGTAGTACGCAAACCCGCCCAGAGAAAATTCTGTGCAGTTCGAGGTGACGACTCAAGGATGAGCTGTGGTGCGTGCATAGTATAATTTGATATATCAGACCGACAAGCTCGTTCAAAAAGCGTAATAAGTCAACCCCCTCTCCGTATTCAGTTTCGTAAAGATTTTCTTTCCTTACGACTTTCGTCAGCTACAGTATTTATCGTTCGACTTTTGGAGGTCGAAGATTCCAAGAAGCCTCTGAGAGTTGGACACAGTCTTGAATCGCTGGAATCTGAAAATTTCGTCTCTGGTGAAGCCAGAAGTACCCACTTAGCTTGTGAGGGTGAATGCTCACATCACTTCGTCTTTTTTATGATGAATCTAGACTAGCAGTTTGAATTTTCCTCACCCTCGATGACCTCATCTTTGCTCCCATCCCCATGCAGTTTGATTCTTTCTCTTCGGAGTAAAGTGGAACACGTATCATTTGCAGCTGTTGGTCCCTAGGATTGTGACTGGTCTTCAGCTGCTAACAGCGACTTTGTGATGTATTCGCGTGCTTTCGTGACCACGATTCCCTCTCAGTTTCTGTTGGCCTTTCTTTTATGTATTTGTAAATGTCGGTGAGTCAGAGTACCAACCGCTTCTTGCCAAGTTTCTTGCTTGCTCTGGTGAAGGCAGGTTGAACAATTTGTTCTCCAGAAAGATTCAATCATAATGCAGACCTCCTCATGTATATAGTGATTACTTGATAAATCACACGCCAAGCAAATCTCTCATGATTCCGTGTCCCGATTGATCATAAGAAATTGATGCTTTACCATTGTTGGTAGAGAAATAAACAAAACATTGAAATTTTTTGGAGAAGTATAGCGAGCACGTTATGCTGTTGATGAAAGAGCAGGATAGAGGGTCCTCGTTTAGAGGCAGGTACTAGTTGTTTGCTTTCTGTATGCCCTTTACTTCATGATTTCAGCATTTGTTCTACTCTCTGTCTAACTGTCGTGTAAGGATGTTCGTGTGCACGCTGGGGTCTATTTATCGTAAAGCTTTAATACGCGTACTTCAGCGTCACATGATGGCACAAAAGAATCAACCTCAGAATCTGGTGACTCCCTTGGAATGATAATCATGGAGATGTAGGGTATCCAGACAACGTCCACGAACAAGTACGTGTTATATTTTTGGGCTTCAAAATTGAATTGAAATACTTAGTTAATCTTTGTCTACTGTGGATAAGGGAATCTCAGCTTAAGAAATTTCATTAATTTTGGAGAAAGATGATATCAAGTTATCATGTCCGATTCTTTCGGGAGAATTTTTTGAATCTACCTCAAGAACAAAAAAAACTGATTTAAGTGATCCCGTATTACGAGCTAAACTAGCAAAAGGCATCGGACATAATTATCATGGCAAGCCTGCTTGGCCAGCCCAATCTCGTATACCTTGTTCTTTGCCACGAGAAAATCAATAAACTGCTTTGAACGGCTCAAGATGACAGTCGATACTAGGGTTTCAAATGAAATTTTAGGATGAAGCATTCTCATTCAGTGAATGCGATGACACTAGTAAACTTAACATCTGCTGATCTGAATGTGTCTACACAGTTGCAAGACAAGAATTCCTTACAAGATAGTGAAGTCTTTTGAATGGAGTACCATACATTATTCTATGCAGTGATATTCGCAATGTTTTGCTTTATCTGTCGATTTGAAGAAACATTGACTGTCTTTAAATCATAAGGCGGAAATGACTGTCATCTTGGGGGATTGCATTTTGTGTGAAGATACATTCCCGAAAGCCTTACTTCCCTTAACTCGCGGATAAGATGATTTGATAAACATAGTACCTTTGTTGAATGAACAAGAGAGCAAGACAGTCTCTTTTGTTCAAGACAACGTATCTCAAAGCAACAACGTTACACTTTTAATCATTTTAAAAATTTAAATTTTTTTACGAGTTATGTGTAAAAATATTTCATGTTTTGCAAGTGCTTTTCCATCGGTCGTTTACCTCCTAACTTCAGATAAAATACGAAGCTATGTTGTGAGAGAGATTCTATGAGACACAGTGGCATCCGATACTAACTATACGAAAGAAGACCTTGTAATTGTTTATTACTACTAATTTGCCGTGCTATAGTTACTGTCGTGTTTTCATTTACAGCCATATCACAGTAGCAATCTGTCATAACATCCGGGATGTGTGTGTATGTGAGTAAGTGGCTAAATATCTAGTGACACACAAAGCTTAGTCCGTGTTTTGAATCGATCTCTTCAACAATCACAAATGTTATAGATTCCGCCAGTAGGTTTCTATGCATGATCAGATGAGAACAGAATTTGAAAGAATATCTTGAACACTGCAAACAATGGTCAGACACAACTCAAGATTCGACAAACATACTGCGTACTTCGTTTAGTATTTACTATGGTTTTCGTTTAGTAATTATGTCGGAAGGTAGTCCCATTGAAATTGCAAATGCAGCAGGTACGTTTGTAAGAAGGTGCTTGCAGAGGACATCCACACGATATGCATAAGTTACAAATTTTACAGCATCAACTGGCGATGTATTATACATCAACAGTTGGATAGAGACACATCGAGACCGTAGTCAAAGTCCAGTTGCAGATACGCCAGAAGAGTCTGATCAAAGGTGGGTGCCTAGGAAATTATTTACCGTAGGTCTAAAAGATAAAACATTGCAGTAAATGAAATGGTACCGTCATATTCACAACTCTTGAACTACTTCCAGGGCTTCTAATAGTTTTCAGGACTTCAAAGGAAACAGATGGAGACCGAAGATAGTCGATAACAGATCTGGTTCTAACAACCTGATCATGAGTATGGATCGACAAATTGCTCGTTCGGCACATGAATCACTCAGGAAAGAGATGGTCTATATGGTCATTGCTGAGTATTTGATTAGGATCCAGCTCCTTGCGCATTCTATTTAACATTTCTACAGGGAATCTCTTCTTCAACCGTTCCTGCAACCACGCCAAGTGTTCCTTGTCCTCGGGTATCTGAAGCAGTTATGGAAAGTTATATTAAGTCAGCATTTCTTGAATTAGTCATGTGTTTGCCTATGATATTTAACACAAACTATGAAAGGAAGGCATCGTCAGAATTTTACCTCTATCTTTGCCCAATGCTCATGCGCATTGTATGCATCCCAGAAACGGCTCTGAGTAAGCTTCCGGTACTTCTCAAACCCATCAGTAATAGCTTTCCTTTGTGCTTCTTCGGCAGTAGGTAGGTACATGATTATTCCAACCTAGAACCAGCAGACAATCAAATCTTAGTAACAAAGAGTGAAATGGACGCATATTATCATGTGCAGCATATTGGCGCTATAAGGTGGATAGGTTTATGATATACGAACAGATTGCTAATATAAGGTTACTTAGGAACTCCAAAAAGTCAAAACAAAAAAAAAAAAAAGTGAAAATCGGGTTTGCTTAAAATTATGAATGATATTAATCATTTGCTTTATCGTCATTTTGGGCTGATGACTAACGAGTCGCTCTGAATGAAGTTTCAGATTTGCGTGTCCAGGTTCAAAATCAAACCTGAAAGCTTGACTTTTACATTAAATGAATGAACCAATCAAGTCAGAGAAAACATGTTGCCAATGCTCATTCTCTCCATTCCTACTTAATGCATTTGTGAATTGTTGGGTCCTTGAGATGTAGAAATGATGATAAAATCTAACTGAATTCAAGTTGGAACCTGATTCAAGGTGGAAAGCACAACATTCCAAGTTCTGGCCTTCTCAGCTTTGTTCCAAATCTACCGAATGATAGGCTTTAACATTGGCAAAACATGGCTAGTGACGAAGAGTCCAACGAGACTTGAAACAAGAGACATCAAGTGAAGTGCACCACATCTATAAACACAATTTCAAAAGGGTATGGGCCCATCCTCGGATAAAGTTATTGATAGCGTTCAAACAGTAAACACACTGCCTTACAAAAAATTGTCCAAGAAAATGGAGGAAATACAAATAGATATTGCAACCTGTAACAATGTACATATCATCAGGGGAACGTTCAACAGGATGAAAATGTATACTAACACAATCAACATGTAATCTTTCGACCCTTAAAGTGCACTCTCAACAATGTCAACCTTTAGATCAATCAATTATTTCAATGCACTGCACTGAATTTGTGAGCAAGAATACTTAAGGATAGGGATTCAGGTGGAAAGAAATGTCCAAACATTCAAGCTTCATGATGAGTATTATGATGTGATCATTCACATGGCTAACTTTCGTTCTTGTTTCAGACAAATAGGTCAATAAGGGTAGATTTCTCTTCACATTCGCGTTACACATTTGTTTGCTAGTATGTCTCCAAAACAAAACAAATTGATCTGTCACTTGATTCTTTTCTTCACGAACGATTTTCAAGGAATCATGCATATAAGAAGACAGTCAATTTTACTATTACATTTGGTAAAATCAGTAAGTTGCTCGTTTTTGCTATTGACAAGAGGAAATTGTGGAAATAGAAGTATAGTACAGAGGAAGACCAAAGTGGTCGATCCTTTAGTTAGGGATACCACCACTTGCTCATACTTTTTCTCATTTTGGCCCAGCTTTTTCTCATTTTGGGCAAGCTCTTCATCTTTTTGAGCTTCCAATACAAATCAGACGCTATAAATAAGAGAGATCACAAACAAGACTTACAGTTTTTCTGTTAAATTGAGCCTAAATGAAAATATTATTTTGATAATAATTTCAAGAACATTGTTTCACACATGAAAATTTTGAAAAACAACCAAGAAAACTCTTAAAGACTTATAACTGTTATATCAAAGTGTACTATGATGAGAGTAATCAAGTTAAAGATTACATTTTGCAATTATCTTTCCTTCGTGTAGTAATCACATTTGTGAACTATGAACTATTTAATTACTAAGATGTGAGGATCACGATATCGAGTTGAATTCGGGTTGATTTTTGATAAAAACCTGCAAAATGTTACATTCAGGTTTTTGACTTCTGAGCTTCGCTGAAAATCTAGCTCAAGGTTGGATGGAGTGTGGGCAAAGTTCAGCAAGTGCAAGAAAGACCAGCTGTAGAAGGAGAGACATTATAGCGAAGTGGATCACAACTGTAAGATAGATTTCAAAATAGAAAGACGACCATGAAGAAGCCCCATCTAAGCCCTTCGTCTGCATGTGAAAAGCTTGTGAACATGGAACGAAGCACCTCCCTACAAATACTACTGCCACCAAAATATCCACAATGAGCATAATGAAATCGACAACTGATGCCAGATGATGAAATGCAATACTTACCCAAGAATAAAGAGTATCAGGGGACGTTGACGATGCTGGACTCATTGGACTTCTACTACTTGCTGTCCACCTTTGCTCAATGGGTGACGGGGCGGGTATCCCCTCCGTCTTGATTAATCTCATTACTTCCTCCATGTACGTGATGTCTTTCATGTTGGGTTTCTTCAATGTACCCACCGGAAATGATACTTCGGACACCCATTGTTGACCACCACAATCAAATCCTAAGATTTCGTCACTATATCCCGTTCTATATCCTTCGTTCAGTTTCCAATACTGAGCTTCAACCTTGTTTATATTCAGTATGTGCTCTCTGTTGAGTGGATCCACCGAAATCAAGACATCGCGCAATTCAGTGAAAGAGAGTTCTGACAACTCCTGCTCCGATAGGATAGGCGAGTGCTCCGTGGCTGCACCCGAGCTTGACCACATGCCTGCTTTCTCATCAACAGGATGGGATTCTGTATCCTTGGGGGAAGGAGAATCGGCTACTTTGGGTAGCCTTGGGACCCCAGAAAAGACCACCATGAAACTGTCAGCATAAGGAGCACTGCTAATTTGAAACTACTAAGAAGTTAAGATTGCCATCAATTCTCACTTTGTAAAGACATTTTAGATATAAAAACGCACTCGACTTCAAAACTATGCATACAAGATGAAGGCGGGAAGATTTGTCTACAAGTTTGTTTATATAACAAACAAGACTTTTAAGCCTGTTGCAGTAAATGGAAGGTACATGGTGTTGATGATAAGTAATTTACCGGTATTTTTCTGCAGTCTGCTTGTAGAATTCACGGACGTGCTTGAGTTTCTCGTCAGGTGCCAGTGATTTGAATTTCGGGCTTTCCTTGCCCTCTGGCAACGGATTGCATTGCACAACCACCACAGTGTCGGTGTCAGGTATCCACATATATCGGAGATGTTTGTTTTGGCTCAGCCATTTCCTGCACGTTACACTCAACATTTAAGACCGCCTTCTTGTGGCTTCGCTGTTGTTGTCGTGGTTCACTTGCTCAGGCTTTCTCTCCTCCTACGAGACGTCCAATCTCATGTGTAGTCTAGTGGAAGCAAATGAAATATACATTTAAACAGAGCCCACGCCATCATCCACTTAAGAGATCCCAGAACAGTACTTGTGATTTCGCTGGACGTTTTTCATATTTGTAACAAATGTATACTCAAGGAGACGATGTCTGGGTACACATTGAAGAGTCACCTCTGCAACTATTCCCAGAGCCCCAAGAGCACAGCGCGACAAGTAGAACAAATCTGCATCGGATTCCGGAGACAGGTCTAGGGTTCCCTTTGAAGGGGTCACCAATTTTAGGCTCACTACTTGCTCATCCACAGGAGGTAGCGTTGCTCCAGTCCCATGCGCACCGACCTACACCACATCTGAAGTTTCACGTTAGTGACAGATGACAGCGATGGAAAACCTGCCATAAACCCAAGATAGAAGATGCACTCAACAGAAATCCCCAAACAAGAATCTCAGGTTACAATGATGACAAATAGTATAACGGTATTTATAATAAACACGAGTCCGGTATTTTGAAGATTTTTTGGTACTCGACTAAAATGACACGACTCTCTTGCTTCTGATGCCTAGTTATATATATTTCATTGGTAAAGCGATGGAGGTCTCCTGGAAAAATTCTCTGATTCTCTGATTACTTCTGTTTACGAAGGTACTGAGTTGACCTTATTGTATTAATCATGTCATTATTCGCAATTAGTTCATGATCACACGAAGATGTAAAGGTCACGATACTGGTAAAACTACTTGAACAGATGGCCTTTGAAAACAGTGAGCTGAAATCAGAACAACGGCAGTATACTTGGATAATTAACTCTCATTAAAAGAAAATGGAAGGCATTGTGATTGTGCTAGCAACAAGTGCGCCTATAATCTTATCTTTTCAGAGTGGAGGACCCAACTCTTCTCCGTAAGAATTAACTTTCAGAGAAAAAAAATCAGTCAAATGGCTCTATTCAGAGGGACCAAAATCCCCATGTGGAACTGTTACTCGTTTGGATTCAAATGTCGATTAACACGAAATCTAGTATTTTTTACCCAACTCAAAAACAGTAGAACGGGACTCACCTGTATAAATCCACCAATTTGTTGCTCCTTAATAGATGCATAATTTTGAAGAGTCAGACCGTAGGGCTTCAATGCTTCCACAACCTGCTCCACTCTTGCGCCTGCTTGGACAGTCACTTGCATTTTCTCTTGGTCCACGTTCAAAATTTTGTCCATCAGAGCTAAATTCACCATTCCATCACTGGACAGCCCGCATCCATTCGGAGACAGCCCAGATCCAACCGGCCTAATCTTTTGCTTGTGCGCATCAGCAATCTTAACTACATTTTCTAGCTCCTCTAATGACTCCGGTTGCACGTAGACACTTGTTTTGGCCTCATGAGTGTTGCTCCAGTTACTGATGGTGTGAACCTCTTCTGCTGGCTCCACTACAGGTGTCTTCGATGGCCTGGGATAAAAGTAATAAGTAGCAGCAGCGGAAGCACCGAGCAATCCCACAAACGTTAACGCACGGGCAGCAGACGATTCTTTGGCTTCCGGGGGCGCTTCTGCTGCTGCAGCTGCAGAATAAAATCTCGGACCAGCCGAAGACAGAAAACGAAAACTGCCACCGCGAGCACAGGAAGAGCCAGAAACTCCCAGAGGTGGGAATCTTCCACATTCCCTGCCTCCAACTGCGCCGGAGAGAGAATTTCCAGATCCCACAATGTTATTTTCTGAATTTAAAATCTCCCCTGTACTTTTCAACCTCCTGCCGGACCCTCCATGAGCCGATCTCCAGATCTCTCGGCAATTCTTGGACCTCGAAACCAAAACCCTGAAAAAGCTCGACATTTTGGCAAACTCGAATCAACAACTTCTCTCTCCTGAAGTGCAATGTCAGCTCAAATCTGGTCAATCGGCCCTCGACCCAAAGAACTCAAATTCGGACTAGCATCTCGCTGCAAGACAGAGCATTCAATCGCCGTCACTCCCTGGTCACTCACTCTCGGCTCCCAAGCGAGAGGCCCCTCTGAGCGATCCTGTAAAGCCGACAAAAACCCAGCTTCCATTCTCTCGCCGTTCTGAGTCTGTGCCCACCGTCGCTGCGTACATGCCTGTGTCCCCCTTCCACCCTGTCTTGCTAAATGGATACTGGACACTGCCACAGGCAGCGAAATGGAATTTAATCTCCCGACTTTTCACACATTTATGCGGCAATATGGTGTAGGCAGGTGTAATTTGCGATGCCACAGAAATGTATGTATTTAAGACCAAATTTTTTTCTATAGATGTGAACTTGTATAGTTTACAAAATATATACTCTTGTATATATGTTGTGAGCTATAGTTGATGCTCCCGTTATTCCAGCCGATAAGAATCTTGATCTAGTATAAGGAACACCACTCTACTCGCTTATGGTCACTGTCACAAAGGTTCTTCCGCAAAATTATGTAAACTTCTATAATTTCTTTCTCTTAAGCCAAGAGTAGTTTCATGCCCTTTTTTCCTGTTTGCGCGGAGTTAAATTCACATTGAAATTCAATCTCTAAACAACCTTCGCTAAATCCAGCGATTGTTCAATATGTAATAGCGATTATTTTAGTTGTAGTACGATTGTTCTTTACAATTTTGTGGTAGAATACACATACTTTACTTCGAAAAGGTATTGGTATGATCCATTGGTTCAGTTTTATTTTTCTTCACGAGCAGCGAATAAAATCTCTTATTTTCTTTCCTAAACGCATTGCTTAGAACACAAAGGATATTTATTTATTAATGTTCCTTTCACTGCTCCATCGCGCTTCTTTCGCGAACTGTCCTCCTCTTCAAGTATCGTTAGAATATTCCGATCCGCCGACCTTTGGCCCCCAGCTCCTTTCGCGAATTGGAGTCCACTTCGAGTATCGTTGTTATGAACGTTAGAATATTCGGATCCGCTGCCATTTCGCCCCACCTCCTTTCGCGAAGTGCCGTCCACTTCGGGTACTATGAACGTTAGAATATTCGAATCCGTTGCCCTTTCGCCCTTAGCTCGCTTCGTCCCTTTAAACTTGTTGGACATCGGATCACAATCCTAAGATCCGGTATACATTAACTTAAACATTACAGTTTCGAAGTAACTGAGTTATAATAAAAAGTGAAAATAGATTGAGAAAAAAATAAAATGGAAATTTATTATTGAGCAAAATATATTATGTTAAATTGTATAATATGTTAAATAATTGTTAAATAATATGTTATATTATGTATATTACTAAATGTTATTATGAACTAAATCAATTATAACTAGAGTTTTAGAGTCAATTGTTGCCATCAATCATTGTGAATATTTACGTTTTGAATATATTACTTAAATTTTTTCATTATTTATATATTATTTTCATGTTTATTTCCATGTTGAATAATTAAAAAATATTTTAGTTAAATTAATAAAATTATTTGGATTGAATATATATAAAAAATCTCTTGATGATACAATTAAGAATTTTTTCTTAATTTAGATTTTGTAAATTTGTGGATATAGCATGTAATGACAAATAAAAAATGTTTGATGAAAATCAGATTGCAAGTGTGATCAAATTATGACTCTTTGTGTTTGATACGTTTGGATTTTATATTACAATTGATTGAAAGCAATAATAATTTTTGTCATGAAATTATGTTAGCGCGCAATAAATTGAAATTCATCAAAAAAATATTTGAGGTTTAAGAATAGATTGGTCTAACGTTTTAAATTTTAAAATAGTTTGAAGTTTTCCAACAACACACTTCAAGTAATAAATTCAATTCTAACTGGAATTTTATTTTTTTTATGATATTGTTCATAATCTTTTTCAAATTTTATTTTTTTTAATGTATCCATATCAAATCTAAATCAAAGAATAGTTATTATGCATCACGGCCTCAAATCAAGTAACAACGTTAGTAATCCATTCGGGGATTGTCGAAACACGAGGCAGGGGAAGAGAGGATGGAAGAAAAGCTTGTCTCTCTCGGACGTTCTCGGCGTATATATGCACAATTTGAATTTGACTCTCCTTATGAGGGGAAAGATTACGGAAATGGGAACATCTGCCGTAATTGATGGTTTTTTGAATGGAATTTTTGTGTCTCGCTTTTCTAATTTGATCTTTAATATCAAATATTGTGAAGGTCGACTACGTAGTTGATTCTACCAGTAGTCATATGCTTGTCTCAAAGATTAAGTCGTCACCACCATATCGGATGATCCCGCAGCAACAAGAAGCAATCCGCTGGGGGGCCCGGTACGTCTGGATTGCAGATAGGACAGCAGGTCGGAAACTTCACGGAAAGAACGTAGCTGCACATAGCTACGGGAACTCGTAGAAACCCGACACACTGGAAGATGCTCCTGCCATTCAGCATCTGACGTGAATATCTGCGGATAGGAATGGCTACCCAGAACCATCGTACTGATTGGCATGACGAAATCTCTTGGGGGGACCGGACTGTAGTCAGGGTCCGCAGCAACAAAGCACGAATCGTATGGAGAAGTCATTACTGGTGAAGAAGCCGAACGGAGGACAACTCGGTGTAGGCACTAAGAGAACACAAGAGAACCTGGTGGAGTGGATGGAAACCTCCCCCCTAATAGGAGGGTAAACCGGGACCCGCGAACAAGGATCGCCCTCCTCCTGGAGCCCACGCAGCCGGAGGCAACCCTCAAGGAAATATGGACGACTGTCGGAGGCACTCCTCAAGAAGTCGTGGAGGAACGAGGAGCACACGCAGACACACAACTGCAGCAATATAGGGAAAACCTCCGCACGTCGCAACTCTGAAGCAAGCTCCTCCTCCCCCCGCTTGCCCGGGGACTAGAATGTGACTCGGGGGTGTAGGGAAGAGGCCTGTGACAAGGGAGCACCGGCGAGGATCCGGATACTCAAAAAAATCAAACGTTGCCCGTCGATGCGAGGAGTGAGGACAGAAAACAGAAAGGAGAAAACTTGAGCGAGCGGCCAGTGCAGGAACAATGAAGAGGTGAAGACAAACGAAACCCCCGCAGCCCTTTATAGTAACTGGAGGTAGCTTGGACGGAACGCAGGCATGGAGGAGAACCTGGCAGACACTCCGCTCTTCGACCTCTGATTTTGAATCTCAGTAGGGGGGCACCACGCGTCAGGAGGGTGGCTGCACCGGAATGGCCAAACCCACATGTGTGCCGGCATCCCCTCCTTGGAAATCCCACTACCTCCAGACGCATCCCGACGTGGATCCGCACAGAATGGTAGATTGACCCCTGAAAATACCCGCTGACGGTCAACATGAGGGGGTGATCCCGAGGAGCAAACCACACGTACGAGACCAGGGCCAGCACGCGCCCTCATAACCATCACCCGTGCAGAGCCTTCTGGACGGAAGATCGAGGCGGACCGTCCTTGTTACGGCGCAGGTACTGGACCAGTACAGAGGTGGAGTATCCTTCGGGTAGAACGGTCGCACGAATGGACAGGGATAAGCGGCAGAAGACACGTGAGCGGCTGGGACAATCCGATCACCTGACCCCCCGCATTATCGGCGGTGCGTGATTGGAGGACCCAGGAAAGATGCGGGATGGCCCGGAGGATATCCAGGCGTGCCGGCGGCATGATGAGGTAGGAGCAACAACCTGCGAACGGATTCAAAGATGATACGGAAGGATCTACCTAGGGAATGGTAACCCGGGAAGGAAGACAGGGAGCCCACGGAAGTACGAACTGACGAAATGAAAACGTCAAAGTACGGAGACTAATTGACGGGAGCACGTCACAGACGGGAGAACGTCACCTGACGGGTGGGCAACACTCATCGACGGGCATAAAGGAACATATGATGGAGTGGCTTGGAAACGAACCCCAAAGTACCTTCACATAGCTTTAGAACGTAGCTCTGAAGGTGGTAATCGTTAATCGGGAACATAGAAGTGCGCACACGTGAACACGTTGCATCATTCCTCAGCCAATAAGTGGTCTGAAGTACTCATATGCTGAAAGCCACTCTGACGGGAGGAAGGCCTCACGAGTTGACATGACAGAAGAATGTCGCTTGACGGGGGAATGGAAACCCCCGGCATGCAGACAGTGACGCTTATGGGTCTGGACGAATGAAGTTCTGTAAGACATTCTCCCTGCCTCAGGATGACACAATGAAGGGTGCCACTTGGATTACAAAGGAAACTCGCACGTGGAAAAGGCGTCCTAAGTTCAGTTATATGACAAGCCGAAGTGCTAAGGAAGCACAGTGGAATGCATCCGGACGGGTGAAAGGGGCTAGCCATCGACCGGACAAGAAAGAGTAATCAGAAGGGGAAAGCCGACCCTCACACGTGACTCGGAAGTACACCAGACTGTTCCGGTTGTGGATCTCAGGAATCTGAACAGCGTAGTGGAAAACTTGGTATCCTAAAGCCGACGAGCCAGGAAAAAAAAATAAAAAATAAAAAAAATAAAAATTATTATTATTACTGTACTATGTTTTTTAGAACTAATAGCGAAAGTAGAACCTATAGAATCACATCTACTAACCACATTAATAACCTGTTCGCCTTTCCCCACTTCTCCTCTCCTGGCATCTCGGTAGTAAGCTGTTGTATTCTCTCGGTGTGGGGTACGTGAGCCCCACATCCGGGACATTGTTATTTTTCACCTGTGGATGCTCTGTGCAGATGTTGTGGACCAGGTACCCAGGTTAGTCACAGGTAGTTGGGGCTAGTTTTTTATACGCCCATGCCGCTCTGCGGTGCACTCTGGGTTCCCTTGGTTGGCTCGCACAGGGCCGCTGCTGTGTTTCAGTTGCCGATGCCCTTGCCTTTCCCTGCGTTTGTGGGGGGGGTGGGGGGTCTGGTGGCTGCTTTGTACTTTCTGCGCGTGTCCTTTGTCCGCGCCCCAGAAAATTTGATTATCCTGCAGAGTCCTGCAGTTTTCACCAAGATTAAGTCGTCATCTCCATCCCTCACGGGCCTTCTCCTCCCCTACACGGAAGGCAGCTCGCTCAGTGGAGAGCCCCCTGATGTCCGGGGTTTCCGCGGGTCTACGGGTTATCCTCAAAGTATTCCTGGTTCATCCGGCGGTGGGGGCATCCTGGACCCGCCTGCACA